CTGGACTCCAGCTCTTGCCAACTTGACTCTGGGCAGGTGGCTTAACCTTTCTGAGTCCTCAGTGTCCTCCAGCAGGAAATAGGAGTCATTACCATGTACATAAACAAATCTGCCTGCGTAATCCTCCCCCTACCTGACTTTCCAACTGACTCTCTTCTCACCACACGTGAAACACCCGAGGGCATGGTATCCTTTGCTGTCTCAGGCCTCCCAAGTCTTTCCAACCCCAGAGCCTTTGCACTTGAGGTGTGCTCTGTCTTGGCCCAACTTCTGAGCAGCTGGTTTCTCCTTCCTCCTCACTCCTCACCCCAAGACCACCTGCTCCGAGAGGGCTTGCCCATCTCAAGCAGCCCCTTCCTGATCTGCAGAGCAGTTTGTTATTCTCCTCCCCTCCACTGCCCTCCATCTCGGGACCTCATCGGCCTGTCCATCATCAGTCCCCAGCACCAGGCACAGAACTTTCCAGACAACTCGTGAATGAATGACAAGTCTCTCCAGTGCACTGTGCAGGCTCCCCAGTTCTCCTGCTAACAGCCTTGCAAGTCAGGGTGGGAGTCCATCCTCTCAGAGCACGAAGGAAGATGGCTAATGTGGGCATGGCCTCCAGCCCAGCACTTCCAGACTGCCCCTGCTGTCACCTCGGGTTCACCCCACCCTGTGAGGCAGCGGTTATTATTGCCGTTCCACAGTGAAGATGCTGAAACACTGAAAGACTGGCCCCCTGTCACACGGTTGGGATGTGACCCACTCTGTCCACCCCTGCTGCTGTCTTTCTTCTCCCCATGACTGGTCCAGGTTAGGGCTGGACCGTGCACGGGGTGAATCTAAAGGTGGCTTCCCCCTCCATCCATCTCATGAACTTAAAACAGCACTGCTGGTGACAGTCATTAAAGCTCAGCCTACAGGTGAGAAAACTGAGGCTGAAGAGGACTAATGACCTCTCTGGACAGGGCAGCTCCCTAAGTGGAAATGGATCCATGGCCAGTGAGATCTTTCAAGTTGGTCCGTTTTCTGTTGTTTCTGCTGAACAAAGCAGACTGGGTAATTCATAAGGACTAGAAGTTTATTTAGCTTCCAGGTCTGGAAGCTGGGAGGTGCAAGAGCACAGCGCTGGCAGCCACCAGCATCTGCTTGGCATCTGGTGAGGGCTTCCTGCTGCATCAGAACATAGCCAAGGGCATCACATGGGGAGGCGAGCAGGCGAGCCAGGGAGCTGCTTTGTAACAAAGCCACTCCCTCAGCAGCCTGTTGGTCCATTAATCTATACTGTGACCCAATCCTTCCCAAAGGACTCACCTCCAAATACCATCAACACATAAATCTGGGGATTAAGTTTCCAAGTCAGGAAATTTGAGGGGCTCATTCAAACCGTTCTAACATCTGTGCCATGTATCACCTACTGCTAATCACATAGAATGAGGATGGGTGGATGGAAGGATGGATGGATAGATAGGTGGATAGGTGGATGGATGGATGAATGGATGGATGGATGGGTAGATGGATGGATAGGTGGATGGATGGATGGATGGATGGATGGACGGATGGATGGGTAGATGGATGGATAGGCGGATAGGTGGATGGATGGATGGATGGACGGATGGGTAGATGGATGGATGGAATGGACGGATGGATGGATGGGCAGACAGATGGGTGGATGGATGGGCAGAGGGATGGATAAGTGGATGAATGGATGGATGGATGGATAGATGGAAAGATTGGCAGATGGGTGAATGGATAGATGGATGAATGGACAGGTGGGGAAGGATGGACAGATGGATGTATGGGCAGAGGTATGGAGGGATGGAGGGATGGATGAATCTCAGGCCCAGAATGTGAATCTTGGTCTCCCTGAATACAAGGACCAAGGTCCTGATTCTGCATTTACTTCCTTTCCCAGGCCCACCCCCACTCCACATGTCTGCATGCCAACTTCAAGGTGTGTGAGCTTTCCTAGGAACTATCTCAATAGTGAAACCAACTATCCCATGTAGGTCTTAATCTCCCCATTCTTGCCATTCACAGAAGGAACCAGGACCGGAAATGACAACTCCAGCTAATTACATCTGCTTCTCCAGCCACCTTTGGGGTCACCCAACTCGATTTCTCCTGGAGACATAAGAATAAGAATGCTGGCGAGCGCCCCTAAGGTTGCAGGAAAACTGAGGCACAGACAGGGAAAAGCATTTGCCAAGCTCACTCCACCTTGGGACCTAGGGTTGAACTCAGTCTGGGCAGGATGGACTTCATATGCTGTTTTGTGCCCAAGCAGGTGGGTCACAGTTTCCTCTTATATGTGACATGCTGTAACCCAGATGTGGCCCTGTGCCTCTGGAACGGCCAGCCTCTGGCTTCATGGGTGACCCAGTAAGCTCCCTAGACACAATTAAACATCTAGAACTGTTTTCTAGGACAGGGAACAAACACTACGCCTTAGGTCAAGCAAGGGTCCCCTGGGCTGCCCATTCCTTGCCTTGGCATTCGGACAACCTTGCCATCTGCCTGCTTAAGGTCATAGCCATGCTGCAATGCACTTCTCTGCTCTATAACCGATGCCCTGCCCTAGTTTACCCCTCATGGAGTCTCACTCCTCCTGTACAGCCCACCGGTGAGCTCTTACCCGGTGCCTTCTACAGCTCTGTCCCAGCCTTGGGTTCCATGATGGCCTCCCTGTCTCCCACATCAGTTTGTGAGCTCCATGCAACAGAGACCTTGTCAAACATCTCAACATTCTCCCTTTCCCTGGTCAGTCCCAAGACCTGGCACATTTGGGAGCTGGTCACTGCTGCCTCTGTGAAGGCTTCTTCTCTCCTGCATGGTGGGATCAGCATTGAGAGGGGACTCATTTTGAAATGCTCTTGCACACCTGAGCCTCCGTGATGCAGAAGAGTGCAGGACTTTGGCAGCTTGTTCAGATCCTGCTGGGGGACTGAGCATGGAGCACTGGGTTACGCAAATGTCAATCTTCTCTCTGTGATCCCTGACATCTGTGTGGTACACAAACGAGTACATCACCTGCCCCCAACACCAGCCTCTGGTTCTTGCAGGAAAAATGTGGCTCTCTGCCTCTGAGCTGCCCACACTTGCAGTGCCCCACCCCTGTTCCCTAAAGTGAAGATGCACCTGCGTTACAGGTTTGAAGCTGAAGAGACCTGGGGTAGAATTCCAGTCTGCCTCCTCTCAGAGTGGAAAGTGGACCTGTCACCGGGTGTCAATGCACAACGCTTAGCTGGTTTGAACTTAAACGTGTCGGGGCAGAGGGGTGCAGGGCTTCTGGAAAGTCTGCCCCACCCCCTGCCTTGTTCACCAGACCTGCTTTTGCAGGGCAGGTGGGTCTGGGAAGCTGGTGAACCATGGAGCCATTGACCTCCCTTTTCCCTAGCCTTTTCTTCCCCTGTCTTCTCTCTCTCCTTCTCCTTCCTTTCCCTCCCTTCCCTTGCCTTCCACTCCTTTTCCCTGCCTTCTCTCCCCTTCCTTTCTCTTCCTTTCCCTTCCCTTCCCCATCCCTCCCCTTCCCTCCAGCCCTGCCAGCAGCCGCCCACTGTAGCCAGCTGTGTGGCAGACATTCCTAGGCCTGCTCATTGATATTCAGGAATGGAACTTGAGCTGCTCTGGTGCCTGGAGGAGCAGGCAGGCTCAGGCCCTCTGCCATACCAGGAGCGCCTAACCATCCTCGCCAACCAGAAAGAGCATCCCAGGCCACAGACACCAGTAGTGGGAGGACGACTGGGGAAACTGAGGCCTGAAACTCAGGTACTCCAGGTCTTGGAGACGCGGTGGCTGAGGTCTCCTGCACTGTGTTCAGTCTCTGGAACCCTGTGAGCCTCAGAGCTTCCGTCCCTCCAGGGGCTTCCGAGCCCTTCCCAGCCCCATACTGCTCTCTGGAAGGAGGCCCTGTCCAGGCCGCCTGCCTGCCCAGGAAGGGGGCTGGGTCCCAGCCTTCCCACATGGTCTCAGCAGGAAGAGAGACTCCTCCCCCTGTCCCATTTGCCAAGCCCCCACCTCACACCTCTGGGTTTTTGCAGATGGGCTTGTTTTTCCTTGGGATGTGAAAGAGCCGGTCATTGCAGGGCCTCCTCCGGTCCAGGCAGCTGGCTGGCCAGCCACAAATCTCCAGCTCCTGAGAAGGCCCCTGACCCAGGAGGCACGGGGTGGGGAGGAGATGACACCAGCTGGGATGGCCCGTGGGGCCCAGCTCCAATGACTCAGGCTTCCACCCAGGAGGTGACAAAGAGGTGACAGAATTCCCTTCCACCCTTCTTTGGCGCTATTACTCACACCTGCAGGCCTGAGCAGAACCCTGCTGGGTCCAAGTGTCCACTGGAAGAACACACAGCAAGGCCTCAGGTCCCTGAGGGCATCATTGCACAAACATGACCGGCCCCTTCCCACCTCCTCTCCTCAGGACCACATGGTCCCCTGCAGAGGCTCCACAACCAGCATGCTCCCTCACACAGCTCCCTCCTCCATCCGTCTACCCCCCCACCTCAAGTAGCCCCATCCCTCATCCCACAGCCTCTTGGCCACTCCTTAGCTGAGGACTCCATTGCTGTGGGTCACTTTGATACCCTCCCAGAACATCCCACTCCACATTGCTGTCGTAGCACAAACTGTTCTACCTCCACCATTAGGAATTGAAAAGTGAGCTGAACATGGTGGTGCACACCTGTAATGCCAGCACTAAGGAGGCAGAAGTAGGAGGTCACAAGTTCAAGGTCAGCCAGGGCTACAGAGCAAGACCCTGCCTCAAAAATAATAATTCAAACTTTCTACAAGTGCAGCCTTGGGCTTTGTGGGTCACACCCCACACCCAAAGGTTCTCAAGTTCCTCACTGCCAATGTCCCAGAATCCCCGTCTCCATCCCATGGCCACCACTGTCTTCTCTACCTATTCCCCCTTCATGCTCGCCCTGCCTCCCTCACCCTCACCCTCACCCAGCTGAGCCACCGCCTCTGCCTCTGCTCCCGTCCCCAGACAGCCGAGCTTGGCTGAAGGAACTCACCCAGGTGGACATCTGCTCTCTGGATCCACGGCCTCCTCAGATGGCAGCTCTCCAGCCAGCCAGCTTCCCTTGCTCCATGACGCCACTCTCCTCAGCAAGAGTGGTCTCCTTCCCCTCCAATGTGGCTTCGTCTGGGTTTTCACAAAGACGATGGGGACATTTGAATGGGTGGGGACGTCCCGACATCTCCTCCTTCATAGACATGGTAACCCAGCCTGGGCTCCCCAGCCCCTCCCTCCTGAACCTCCATTCCCTCCTTCTCTGCTGGATCTCCCCACTTAGCATTTCTTAAAAGTCTGGTGCCCCCATCTTAAGACAAAAAGGAAAACATCTTGGCCTTCATTCTGCTTTTCAACTGAATTTCTCAGAATTGTCTGCTCATTCCCTCCTCACCCGCTTTTGTTCTCCAACCCATCCCAGTCAAACTTCCAACCCCAGACCTGCTCCCATGGAGTCCCTCCAATCATGGCTGTGTCGCCAAATCCAGAGGCCTGGTCAGTCACCAGCGAATATGGCATCCATACAGCATTGGCAGCCACCTTTCCCTGCTTCCCCAAACCTTCCCCTCACCTGCCTGGATTTCTCCTTCAGTCTCTCCTGGGGTCAGGGGAGCCGAGATCCCAGTTTGCCCAGGACTAAGGTGCAGCTGGCCTTCCTGTTGGGATGTCACCTTCTTGGTGCGTAGTGAGACCTGGTGCTTGGTCTCTGGCTCTGCAGTTCTGCTCAAATGCTATCTTCCACCTCTGCGGATTTGCACAGAGCCTGCTCTGCTGGGTAGGCCTGAGCCCGGCTGCTTCGTCTGCACCCGGGATGGCATCCTCTCCTGCTGTTCTCTGAACTCCTCCAGGGACGGTCACATGTCAGTCCACTCCGTGTCCCTGCTGACTGGTGGCCTCACAAGATCCTGTACTGAGTTAGTTATAATAGCAGCTAACAGGAACTGAATGCCTGCCCTGTGCTGGGCACCACACCAAGTGCCTCACAAGAGGTCACCCGTCAAGGTCTCCCAACAGTACCACAAAGGCCATTTTAGAGGAGAGGAAACCGAGGCCACAGAGGAGCAGGAACTGGCCCAGGACCTCGTGACAAGGAAACATAGAGCCAGGATGGCAGCCCAGGCCCCCTGGCTCTGTGGCCACTGAGCCCAACCTCTGCAGTACAAGGCTTCATGTGGGAAGGCAGGACCCATGACTTGTGGGCCGAGTGAAATGAAACTGAGTTCATTTCTCCCCCCCCGGCAGAAGCAGAGATCCTACAGTTCAACCAGCCTCCTTCTGTTCTTAGGACTGCAGCCAGAGGCACCATCTGCCAGGCACTGGAGAAGCATGCAGGGCAGGGTTGCAACTCAGCTCGGCGGGAGCGGGCTCCCTGCTTCCTCGTGAGCTCTTGGACCTCACCGCAGAGTCTTATTCCCCAGCTCAGTCTTCTCGGCTTTAGAATGGGGATGGAAACAGCAAAGGCCAAGGAGACAAAATGCACAAAGCCCAGGACACACACTGGCACCGAGCAGATGAGCAGCAAGCGTTTACGGAGCATGGACAAGTACAAGGCCCCGAGCAGGATGGGGGACCCGGAACTGGAAATCAGACCGGGCAAGGGACAGGGAGCATGGGCGGTTGTGGGGAAAACCACCTCCTGGGAGGTGATGGAGTTGCTGAGCTGTGTCTAAGGCCAGCTTGTCCTTGGGGTGAGAGGGAAGCAGTGGTGCCATTTGCCCTTACACCTCTGTGCCTTTGCCACGCTAGTCCCTCTGCCCCCTTCCCTCACTCTTGACTAACTAGAAAACTCCTACTCAACCTATAACACCCAGCCCTAACATCCCCCCACCCCTGAAGTTACCTCTGATTCACACTGGACCGATTCTTCTTGCTCTTGGCCATCCCAGGCATTTTCTAGAGTCCTTTCTTCACTCACAGAGTCAATCAATCAATAAATATATATTTGCTGAATACCTATGTCCCTATTCTGGGTATTGAGGTTACAAATAATAATGCTAATATCTATTGAGTCCTTGCTACGAACCAGGCAGTTTTAAAAGCTTTACATATGGTCTTCACAACAATCCTACAAGAAAAGAACCATGCCTGTCTCCATTTTGCAGAGGGTACACTGAGGCACAGAGAGGTTAAGGCACTTACCCAGGTCTCACAACTGGCAGATAAAGAAGCCAGGGTGGCTGCCTGTGCTCCTGCCCACTGCTGCACTGCCTCTCCCATGACTGGATAAGTCACAGCTCCACACTGGAATCTTTCTCTGGCATGTCCACTACTTCCTTCTAGGTGACCCACCAATTTGGCTTGCCAGAGACTGGGGAGCTTCCCAGGACGAGATGTTTAGTGCTAAATTCAGGAGATTCCTGGGCAAAATGGGACAAGCTGGCCACCCTGAGCCCCTTGGGAACATCATGGGATCGAGTCACACGTACATCTCTCTAATTCTACACCCACCCTTCCAAGCAGCCCCTGAAAGAAGAAGAGCAGTTAGGTCCAAGTAGGATCCCGCTGAAGGTGGGGACCCCCACACACACACCCGCGGCTGTTATTTGCAGGCATCCCAGTGCCCAAGCCTGCAATGCTGGTGGAGACGGGGATGAGGAAGGGCCAGTCAGAGGCCTGTGGGCCAGGAAGGCCACCTCAGAGCAGGGGCTGAACTCCCCTCATTCCAGAGCCAGCCCAGTCACCAGCACAGGGCATGATTCCTACCTGGCCCAGTCCCCTTCCTTGGACCTCTTCGCCCCCTCCATAGAGGCAGAAAGCTGGCTGGATGACTTTGCCTGGTGCAGCCAAGACAGGGGAGGACTCAGGCCTATCCTGTCCCCGGTGCTGGCCGTCCCTGCCTGGGACCACGGAGAGAAAGGTCATCTGAACTAGCTAAAATATCTCCCCTCTGCCTTCTCCTCCTTCTCTGCAGCCTGTCCTCTCTAGTCCTCCAGATGCACTCACACATCCTCTCTGCCGAAAACAGAACGGGGACACACAATCCTTGGAACCCATGGGGGGTAAGAATGGGGAGCAAGGGTAAATGTTCTCGCCAGGTATGGTGGTGCACACCTGTAATCCCAGCTACTGGGGAGGCTGGGGCTGTAGGATCATGAGTTCAAAGCCACCTGGGCAACTTAGCAAGGTCTTGTCTCAAAATAAAAGTATTTTAAAGTGCCAGGAATAGAGTTCAAGTGGTAGAGTGCCTGTCTATCAAGGCTCTGGGTTCAATCCCAGTACCGCAATAAAGAGGGGAGCAGCTCATGACCACGGAGAAACTCTGTGAATGCAGAATGAGCCTCGCTACCAGAAGCACACGCTGACTGTCCCGCCCGTCGCGAGGATGACAAGCTCCTGACCAGCAGCCCCCTCTGCAACCACCCCGCTTTTCTCCTCTTGCAGCCATGGCTGAAAGGTTTGTGATCACCTCTCCAGTTCCTTCTCTTCCTTTGGCCTGGACCCACATTTCAGTAACCCCAAGCCCCCCGTCGCCAGAGCCCCTGGTCCATTTGCAGCATCCATCTGATGGTGAGGACACCTCCCCCGTCTTGAAATCAGCCTTGCACTTTGCCCTTAGACACACCCCATCCTGGTTCCCACCTCCCACCCCAACCCTCTCCTAGCTACCTTGGCCTGAAATTGGCTCTCGGTTCCTAGACATGAGCCCCACTGTCCACACCAGTCCTTGGAGGTGGGGTTCGTCAGTTTCTTTTAAAATACACTCTGAACGTCAGTGACTCCCACACCGACATCCTCAGTCCAGACCTCTTGCAGTTGTGCTGCTCGATCCATCCACACCCTCCCACCTCAGGATTCTCACACCTTCCTCCCTCCAGATCCCCAGCACCAGCGTCCAGACCTCAGCACACACCTGCATCAAGACCCCTGCACGTTCTCATCCCGTACACTTATCCCCAGTTACCTGCAGAGTTGACTCCCACACACCTTCTCTACTTCGTCTCCTGCTTTACCTCCAGCATATTTTAAAGATATTTATATTTACACCTTTAAAATATACAAATAATATGTACTCCGGCACTGTATCAGGCCAGTCTGCATGCAGTGTGCACACAGTAAAAGCAATGGTCTCCCCTTTGTCCTTGTGGGTATCGGAAACCAGAGAAAGCTTTCACTTACCCAGGGTTTCACTTGCCCACCATCCACAGTAGTCCAAAAACATTAAATGGAAAATTTCAGAAATAAACTATTAAAATTTTTTAATTGCACACCATTCTGATGCCCTGCTCCGTCCTACCTGGGTCATGAGTCATTCCTATGACCAATGTTCCCATATCTGTATGTTACCCACTCATGCGTCACCTAGCAGCCGTCTCGGTTACCAGAACGACCGTTGTAGCATCACAGAGATGTCTTCAAGTCGCCCTTATTTTACTTAATAATGGCCCCAAAGCATCAGAGTTGTGATGCTGGCAATTTTTTTTATAGTATCTTGTTTTAGTTGGGATTATTAATGGTTGTTCGTATCTCACTGCTCCTGATTTACAAGCTAACCCTCATCATAGGTGTGTACATGGGTAGATTGGGTGCTGCCCACCGTTTCAGCACCCACTGGGGGTCTTGGAACATATGTCCAGGGATAAGGAAGGGCTAGTGTGCTCGTGGAACTGGTGGATGAATGAAAGGACAGCATTGTAAATAACAAGCAAATGAGGGGAAATAACTAAAAATACACGAAAATAAATAAAAGCAGTGCAGAGAAACAAGGATTGGGTGGCAGAGGTGTGCGACATTGGGGATGATGTCCAAGTGAGTGGAAGAAGCCAGACACCGAGTGTATACGTGGTTTTATTTATGTAAAGCTCAGAACGCGCAGACAAGTCTGGGGTGACCCAAGGCAACCAGTGGCTTTCTGGGGGGAGGGAGGCACTGCAAAGGGCACAAAAACTCTTGGGGGTGTTGGAGATGCCTCTGTCTTGACAGTGGCCATTGTCTCACGGCTGTGTACACCTGTCAAAACCCATTGAGTTTTTTGTTCTAAGTGATGTCATTTATGGTTTGTAAGTCAGAGCTCAGTAAAGCTGATTTTTTAAAAAAGATGCTAGCGAATGAGTGACTTGTCCAGTCCACTCCCCTCCCCTCTCCTCTCACTCGGCGCTGGTCACAGATGTAGCCCTGATGGACACTTCAGCTTCCTCCCTAGCCAGACTTTCTCTGGTGAGGAAGGGAGTTGGTCTTTACTTTGTGCCAGACACCAGGTCCATCTTGCCTTAATTCTTTCTCACAAAGGCCTTGCGGGGTGGACAATATCATTCCCGTTGTGCAGATCAGGACACTGAGTCTCAGACAAGGAAGAAACACCTCCAAAATCATTCAGCCCAAAATGGCAGAGCTGGGATTTGAACTCAGGTTCAACAGATTTCTAATCTTACACCACAAACTTCCTCTCCCCCACAGGTCCCTGTAGCACTGTGTATGAGCACACATGTGTGCACATGAATGTGTGTGCCTGGACGAGCGTGTGTGCATGTGTGTGCCTGTGTATGTGTCTGTGCACACATGTGTGCATGCCTGTGTGTGTGCACTTGTGCAAGTCACATGTGAGCACGTGTGTGTGCATGCATGTGTCTGTGCACATGTGTGTGTAGCACGTGCCTGTGTGTGGCCTCGTATGTCTCCCTCTTCCCATCTCTCAGGGAGAAAGTGTTCTACGGCTGAGGAAGCCAAATGTGTCTCTCATCATGTTTGAGAGTCATGAGAAGATTCCAGGAGA